TTTTTTTTTTTTATTGCTGTTAACAGTGTCAATCATGTGGAATCTATAAATTTTACAAAAAAAAAAAAGGAAGAAAAATATTAAATATTTATTTATTTATTTGAACCCAGTTTTTTTTTTGTTTTTTGTTTCAGTGTAACATCAAAAATTTAATTTTTCTTCTTTTTTTTCTTTTTATCAATATATTTATTCATTATTCAATCAGTAACAGAAAAAAAAAATTTTAAACAATATTTTAATAAATTACTGTTTTGTAAAAAAGAAAAGTATATCATTTTTGATACTGCTTCTTCTGTTCTTCAAAATGATAAATTAATCCAGTTTTTTACTGTTCTTTTTTTTACTCTCTTTCTCTCTTAACGAAATAGAAGATGTGTAAAAAAGTTGGTAATTTTTGTGAAAAAACTTGAAGCTTTTGGTTCTGGAACTTTAACCTTAAATATTGCAGCAATTTTTTCCATCATTTCTTTAGCTTTCTTGTTGCCTAAAATTTCTATCAATTTTTCATACACAGCTTCCACCACTTCTTTTGGTTTTGCATCCTTATTATGTAGATCGGTTAATAATAATTCCACCTGAAAAAAAACAGAAAACAGATCTATTTCTTTAACTGTTAAAAAATTATTTGAAAACAAAAGAATTTATCTAAAGAAAAGAACAAAAAAAAAATGACACGCTGTTATTAGGTTGTTAAGTGATACAATACAAAACTAAAGTTCTGATAAAAAAAACTAAATTTTTTTTATTGAAAAATTTAATTTGAATAGCATTTACGTGGATTGAAAACTATAAAAATTAGTAACAAAAAAAGTATCAAAATGTTTGACAGTAATTTACAACTAACCGATTTAAGCTGTTCTTTGTTAAGACTTTCTGCAATAATTTTCTTCACTTTATCAGTCTTATTGTTGAATTCAGCAATCTCCTTCAGAACGTACGGTTTAACGATGTTTTGTCGTTCTTTTGGTAGTGAAGCAAAAAATTTCTCAAGTGCTTCACGCATACCTTTTGGTGTTTTCGTTGAGTTTTTAACAATTTCATGAAGCTGAAAAAAAAGTTTAAAAAACTTATGATTATATTAACTGCTTAACATATATCGGCTATACATTTCAACACTGTTTTATTTTTTCCTTTCAAAAAAACTAGAACATTTTTCTTTGTTGATATGAGTAATGCTTTTTAAAGCAAAAAGTATTAAAGAAAAAAAAAACAGAAACTTTTTGGAGTTCATCTTTGGTCATCACCGATGATTTTGGCGAAGATTTTTCGGGTTTTTTGTCAGCTGCAGCAGCTACGAATGTTAAGGCACAAAACAGAACCAAATAACGCATAGTTGCTGAAAACATTCAAAAAAAAGAGTAGTAATAACTTCTGAAAACCAATTTTTATAGTTTAATTCTACTTTCTTTTATCCTCAAAACATCAATTTTTTTTTCAGCATTACAGTTAACAGTAAGTATTTTCAAAAGTATATAGTTCACTGATTCAGTTAGTTCAATACAGAACAGTCTTAGGTGTAAGAGACAGTAATTCAGGTGTCAGTACGCAACTTTCAACTTATCATTTTTTTCTGCCTAAACAAAAAGAATCCTATCTTTTTAAAATCTTTTTTTTTTGTTTTATTTTTTGTTTCTTTGTACACTTATTTAAATGATAAAAAAAGAAGTTTTTTTATTTTACAGTCATATTCAATTCTATGGGGCTATCTAATCCAAAAATTTATTCACTTTTCAATTAACTATTATTTTCACTTTCTTTTCTATTTAATTCTGTCAATAATACTGCTGTATGTTTTTTTTTCGACTTTTTTTCGACTAACAGTAAATGTAATTATTCAAATACTAGAAGAAATTTT